ACAATAGGCTCCGTTCTTAACTATGGGCAACCTGTAACCCGGGCGTTCTTAACCTGGGGAACTACCTGTATAGGATGGGGGGACTATATTGGGCAACAAAGCTTGAGAAAAGGTTCTTAGTGATCTCAAGCTGAACATGAGCCAACAGTGTAATCTACCTAACCTCCCCCCCCCAGAAAAAAAAATGCAACCCTAGGCTGCATCAATATATATAATGTCAAGACCTAGAAAAGCTATCACTATAGCATATTCTGCATTTGGTTAGATTGCACCAAAAATATTGTATCCAATTCTGCGTACTGTAGTTGAGGAAGAAAAGACTATTGGGGGATATTTGGACCTGTTGAGTACATTTAGCTTACAGAAGAAAATACTGTGAAAAGATATGACAGCAGTCTTCAAGTATCTGAAGAAGTGTTATGTAACATTGTGGAGTCCTTTCAGAAAATTGGGGGGAGGGGGAAGAGGCAACAATGGGCTTAAATTACAAGGAGGTAGATTTTAGTTGGTAATCGGAAAAAAAGAAAAACAAAAAACTGTAAGAGCTGTCCAATAGTTGAACAGACAGCTTTGAGAAGTATAGAATTTCCTTCACTGGAGGCCATCAGAGGCTGGATGGCCATTGACTGAATATGCTGTTAGTATTGGATTCCTGCACTGGTAGGAGATAGGACTACATCATTCCAAGGTAACTTCCAACCCCACATTCTATGATTTTATCATTCACTTAATTTATGCTCAGTTGCTCATATGCTGAATTACTTAATAGAGAATTTTACTACCTGTTTCAGGCAATTTAATACCTCCAAGCCCTCGCCTGGGTATTGGATCATGTGGATCAGGAAGAAGGTTCCTTATTCCTGTTCAACTTTGCTTGAATAAAGACTTCCTGAGTTCTGGTATTAATTTGTTGCTTTTGGTTTGTCTGCTCCTGAGTACTACCTCATAGTTTTGATGTGACTTCTACTCTGGTCATAATTTATAGCTGTTGTCCCTCACCTACCCCTGACAGGAACAGGGATTTAGGAATAACAACAACAATAGCGACAATAGTACCAATAGTAATAGGTGCCTTAGGTGCAATCCCAAAACATCTGGAGCATGACTTGGACACCATCAGCCTTGACAAAATCACCATCACACAATTGCAAAAGGCAGCTTAATTGGAGCAGCTTACATCCTGTGACGATACCTTTAATACCATCAAACAACATCTGCCTATCCCAGGTCCTTTGGAAAGACTTGATAGGTGGATAAAAATACCAAATCCAGTCTAAACATCTGGTGACTGTGCGACCAGCAATAATAAAAAATTACTTGGAACTACTTGGGATTCCAGCCAAAGACTTTTGCAGTAAAGAATAAATTTATTGTAGAAATGTATGTGATGCAACTGAGCTCTTCCATGAGAAGCTTCTTCTATAATGGGATATGTATTTAAGATGTCACAGGACTCTCTTGCTCTTGTGTATTTGTATGTGCACACTTATGCTTCTGCAATAGAATGATAGGCTTTTCTTCTAGAATTCAACAATTTAGCATCAAGCATATAATGAGGGTTTGCTGCCAGATGTCTTTTGAAATGTCATCTTGGCATCCCAGTAACCTTCAGAATAATGTCAAACCAAGGATTTGTCGTGATATCAACCACAAAGCAGCAAATTGTTTAAAAAATGGGTAGAATTCTATCCAATAGAAAGGATAGAAATACTAAGAGGAAAAGTCAGTGTCTTGCCATCCAGATATTGAACCTCAACTTCCATCATCCTTCTGCATTGGCTCTGCAGGTCAGATTGATGGAAATTGGAGTTTTATAATACAGTATACGACAGATCATATATTGCTTATGCTTGGATTAACACATGGCAGTTTGGCGGCTGGATTCCCCACTTAAAACAAAGGATCTAATTTCTATCTTATGGACTGGGATCCTTATTTGACAACAAGAAGAATAAAACTGAGAAGGAAACATGCATCTGGTAAACACAGATACCTGCAGTGAGGCCCACATATTTCTCTGTTCCTTTCTGGATGTTGAGTATCATTCTGCCATGCTGGAGATACAACAAGAGTGAGCCAGAATTTTCTGACAATTCAGTAGACAGGAGCAGACCATCCTCATTCCATGTTCTAAACTGGAAGCTGACAGACAAGCCATCAATCTGGGGAGTGCCGGGTAACAACAGGTAACTGCTGTTGGAGCTCTCAAACGTGATGGGAGTGATTGGTGGTTCTGAACAGGAAAATGTCACATTCCCCTGGAAAGTGATAAAAACAAAAAGGGAAAAACACAACAGATAATGTTCAAACTGTTTTCCCATTCAGCTGCTTGGTAAAATTTGCCATAATTACATCTGAAAGATAGAAATGAAAAGGTTCTTTAGGACTGTAACTGTGTATATATTAGGGGTGAACAAATCAGCCAAAATCTGATTGAGTTCCAAACAAATTATTTGCTCAGTGTGCAATGTGTACAAAGATCTGGATTTATGCAGATTTATTTGAAGGCACCTGATTCAATCAGAATGGTTTGGTAATTCAGTTAGAAGATTTGATTCAAAGAAAATGATTTAATAGAATCCCTTTGAACTGAAGCTTCATATAACCCTATGTACCTATATTTCTATATCTATCTATGTGTGTATGCGAATACACACATGTATACACACGCAGGCTGACATGTACAGAATATCAAACCAGAAGTTTTCTGTATTTAGTAAATGTTAGCCTATTGCTTAAATACTAACTAACTTTCTAATAATCTCCAGAATATATGCTTTGGCGTTGTTCTGAATGTGAACAGAATGGCTTTTCCCAGGTTGGTGTTCTGAATCACAGAAATGCATGAACTGTGCTGCTTGAAAATAGACTCCAGACTTCTGAAGAAGGAAGCCTTGACAGACTAGTCAACCATAGATTAGTACCACAACCGTATGTATGTATGTATGTATGTATGTATGTATGTATTTACGGTCAATGCCCAGCAAAGTAGTTACAACACTCAAGCAACACATAAAAGCAGGCTCAATACAATAAGAGCAATAAAACCACCATCTAGACCTCCAATTAATGTTTATACATATAGAAGTAAACAAAACAGAACAAAATAAAGTAAAACAGAACAAAACAAAACAAAATAGATAAAATAAAAACAAAATTTAGATAAATAAATGAAAATACTTCCTTGTGACATCATTTCTAAGGTTTAGACACCTTAAGCCTTCTGATGCCAATAGTGGCTGATAAGTACTTGGCAACTTTGTTTGTAATGCCAGGGTTCTGGTCTCAGAGTAGAAACCAAACCACTTCTCCCTTATTGAAAGCTTGATCTCTACTAGAAGGTGGTACAATATGCCAGCACATAAGTTCTTATAGAAGGGTCAGTGAAGAAATACGTGCTCTAAGATCTTGGGCTCATGCTGACCACTGGGACATTTTTTCTCATTAAATGGGATTTTATGAAACCTCTCATCCAATACTGCTGAAGGTCAGACATTAAAGCAGGCCAAAAAGAAGCCTCTACAGTATGTGAGCAAGCCAGACTGAACAGACAGTTTGCACGTCTATAAGGTTTCCAGGAAGGCTGTACTCAAGTCTACATAATTTGCATGCAGAAAATCTGAGGTCCAACCACAACAGGCAGGCTATTTCTAGTAAAAAGAAAATTTGAACAGCCACAGTAAATCATCCACTGCCTAATTAACAGATTCCCTGAATAAATTTCAACTCCCACAACTGGCAGCCTACTTATGAGAACATGTCTCCAATGCAATGTGCAGTGTAGTCCCACCCAAAAAGTTTGCTTGGATGCCTTACATGGTCAGATAATACACTGAATATCATAAATGCTTTATGAAAAGCCTGCCTTTTATTTCAATACACTCAGTCCTGTAGAACATAAGTCTTTAATGGGGTTCATTGTTAGTATGATGTACTGTACCACAATCCCATCTGCAACCTTAGACTGATCTCTATCAAGTCCAGTGGAGTATGGTTTATGCATGAATTGGACTAAGACAAAAATGTTATTTGCTTGTACTACTTTTCTTCCACTTCCACTCCAACAATACACTTCTCAAGGCCACTGGTTTCTAAAGGCTTTAACTGCAGCAGACCTGAGTTAATCATCTCTTTTCAAACTTAATAGTTTCCAAGGCAGTTATATTGAAGACACTGGGAACACTCTGAGAATGTTCCCTATTTTTTGATACCAACTTCAATTCAGAACTAAAAGCATTCTTGCAGAGTTGCTGGAACCCCAGTTGCTTTGTTCTCAACACTTCCACTGCTGTTTATTCACCAAAATCAGATAATTAGCAATTAGCAATATAGGATGGGATACAGACACATATCTCTTTCAAAGAAAATAAAGGGCATTATGGGAGGACTGAAGGCTCGCTTTTAATCCAAGGCATTTTGCAAAACATCAACTGGAATTCTGATTAACCAATTCAAATATTTTCTGTAAGTATAGCCTTTTATTAGAACTCATGCCTCACTCTAGCAGGATCATTAGCAGTAACAAAATATGACTAATGTGTAGGAAGTTATATGAAGCTTGGGGATTTCCTTGCTGAAAGGATAGAAAAAAATGATGGAACTGTTGACAAGTGGAAAATGACAATTATTATTGACACTGGCAAATAAGTTCTGGGAAGAGATTTAACTTGAAAGATGAAACAAAGTCTTCAGGGAGAACTTTCTTTTACATGACAAAAAATATTGGAACAAAAAAAAAATAGAGGCATTTCAATGGATCCTCTTTGAATTAGTTCTTATTTGTTATATATCTGGGATGATGAGAGCTGGCAACGTGGAAAATATATTCCAAACCCATATAAATTGCAAGTGCTTTCTATCACCTGATGGGGATGCTGGGACTGCTTTGTTTGGTCATAATTAGGTACTGGCTAAGATCCAGATAAAACTGCCAGGTTACACACTGAATATGATAATTGCTTTATGAAAAGCCTGCCTTTTGTTTCAATATACTCAATCTTTTAGAACATAAGATTCATTACATGTCAGAACAAAACCAACAAATTTCATATAGTAAATAGCCTAATCTTCAGAATTTGGGAGGGAGAATTTTGATCCATCATGTCAAGAAGCATAGCCAATGATAAATCAAAATGAGCTGGACAGCAATAGGATAATTGATAACAGGAATAAGTGAATCATCCTAAATATGGAAAACATGTATTTTTTTTTTTAATTCCATCTTTATTTTTTTTAACTGCTGAAAATTCAGTTTTTGTTCTCGTTTGGAACTTTCCTTAAAATATATAGGTTTTTAAGCAACTTTCCCTAATTCTCTTTTTAAAACCGCTGTACATACTCTTTGGAGGAATATTTTCCTAAATAAAAGCTTCTTTGTAAACTTTTTTGAGCAGACATTAAGGGCTAATTCTGTTCTACTTGTTCATTGGCACATTGCTCCATTTCATATCCACTGAAATACAGCGGATATCAGACACTGAATCAGCCACTGGCGCCGACGCGGTGGCACAAGGGCTTAAGAATGCTGGAGTTTGCCGGTCAGAAATGGTCGGCACTCCAGCAGTTCGGGCCCAGCTCCGCGGGGCAGGGGGGGGTCCTGGCCCTTTTTCTAGCTGCTTGGCCACCCCCCCGCTCGAGAGCTACTCCAT